CTACTGAAGATATTTTCAGTGGTTCGAGTCAGGGCTTCCTGTGGGTGGCGTCCCCCTCTGCTCGGGTTCCGGCCCTGAAGATACTGATCAGGACAAAGTGTAAGACCATTGAGTCAAGCCAATACAACAGAAGTGAGACAGACCTTTTTGTATGTTGGTGTGAGGCCGCCAGCCGTGCCGTGTCCACCAGCAAAACCMACGGGTAAAATTGAAGCAAACATTGGCTTCACTCCAAACACAGGAATCTAGAAGAATATAAAACTACGGGTTAGAAAAGTGCTTCTGGGACACAGACTGAGGAGAGCCTAGATATAGAGCCGATGTGCTGCATGCTGATTGGATAAGTGGATGTATCGCCTGCTGTGATTGGTTCGACGGATATTATCAATTCATGGGTGGGGGTTGACGTGCCGGTATCCGGGTTCGATTTCCGCATTCGGTGTCATATGAGTTTCTAGTTGCTTCTCTCCTGTGCTTCGAGAGGTTTTCTCCGGCTGCCCCAAACATTCCAAAAATCAATCTTGTACATTCCAACTGTCTTGTCTAGTCCTCGGCTATTACAGTAAGCTACAACCAAATGTTTCGTTTTCAGTAATTCGTATCATTATATATTTTAGTCTGTAAAACTGGTGGTAGTAAATTGTTCTATAGAGAAGCCACTGTTAAATCCAATCTAGTCATTTATACCAGCCTCCAGTGAACCTCCCGAGTTTTCTCTCAGTCTCTCATAATCTGYTCTAGACTGCGATATTCCTACATAGAGAGAGGCTTACAATGTGTAAATACGAAAAAGAGGGAAAAAGAGGCCCATATTGACATGCAATAATCGGATTACCAGTCACCTACCAGGAGAGCTCCAGTGACGACCAACGCCACAAGCCATTGACCCCAKGCTATTATCATACCGTACATGAGCTGAGGACCGGCTTGGTTCCAAATAACTTTAACATTAGGGATCTTGGTACCAAGGAACAGCGATGAAAACACAATGTTAATCAGAAAACCTGCGAGGCTRTACCTGGAAAAATATATAGGTTATTGACCAGTATAGTAAGAGGTCAGTTCCTATGGAGAAAAACATATTAGCGCGATACTACTCTTCCCAATAGACTTGACTGAATTTTGATCACGTGGTGTAAAAAACATGTCCACGTGGTACAACATTGGCATCACGTGGTCGATTTGAAATGTACTTCTGGATAACATAAACAGACGCTACGAAGGCGATTAAAAAATCACAACTACCTCGGTCTACTGGGAAGAGTAGTATATTGACCTTCTTATAGGGCCTCTTATACTGAGGTCGAAGGTTTTTCAAGGAATCGAAGTTCCTTCGCAAAGAAAATGAAACAAAATAAGCCGACTTAAATATTGCAACCTTAAACATTTTAAAGATTTTCCTGTATATGAAATGATTTAAGAATGATGAATCAAAAAATGTAAATAGAAATAGAAATTGCGTGCRAATAATCCTCGCGCGACGTTGTCTACAGGCTCTGTATATAATCATGTTTGCGAAGACGTGTGTATAGCTTAAGTAATGAATGCCACATGCTAGAAAACGAAACCCAAGCAACAATGCGGATCGCTTGGAAAACCCATCAAAATTCATCAATGAGCTTCAGTTATATTTTTTTTTAGCGTAACAAAAATTCTTGGAAAATCTATGTTTACGGCGTCCCGTTGTACAGACCGCATGAGATGGCTAAATGGGGGAAATGACTGTCATCAACTGTTGAAACGGGCTAAAACTGAAGCAAAGCAAGAAAAGGCAAGACAGGAGTTCATTTGCATAAACCATATAGATTAAAACGTCAATCATATAAATCAGTATCATAATAATTTCTGAAATTTGAAAAGAAGAGGGACGTAGCAAAAACAGGTGACGGTAGATTTCTGTAGAACTTTACAGTATAAGGACAATTCAATACATACCATCCTTGGGTGAAGTTGAGCTTGATAAAAGTCGACACATTTACATCGAGGTCCACCAGTTGAATCGTCACCAGACCAAGAATTCCACCTATTACTGACGCAGGAAGGTAAAGCTTCTGAAAAATCCAACAGTACAACCTCAAGAGCTTTCCAAGGATGAGCAGAAAGCACAGAAAGCAGAAGGAAGCAACAGCGGAGTATGGCAATGGCTGTTGTGGTTTGGAACAGATCCCATCTTGTAAGATGAAGCCGTTCAGACAAAAACACGATGGTCCTGTAGCAGTGTGGTTACTACAGATGCCGTTTACTCCACAGGAATCGAGAACAGAAGCGTTACAAGCCATGCACAATGAATACTAGARACTTTATAGCCGCCACAATTCAACTTGTACTACAAAGCGACACTGAACCATGTGAACTATCAACATTGTTAAGCATAATTTGATACCCGAGTTCGTTATTTGATTATGTATTTTAAGTGGTTCTTGACWGACGAGGCATTCGATATGGATTCCGATTGGTTCGTTAGTTTGACCCGTGGCAAACAGTGTTACCCCTCCCCCCAACAAGCCCTCTTTTCTCAACGAGAACGAGATCATTACCTCGTGGAGATAGAGATCCAGTTTTCCTGTGCACAGAATTACATGAGGAACGTCGTAAAAACTGTAATACAGAGTAAAACTTGAGTGACTTATCAAGAGTGAGGACAAGTACTTTCATTCCTGCTTTTCTTGAATATGCATCACTTAATGTCCCATTCAAAGAACGCGGCTTTTAAAATTCTTTTTTTCTAGGCGGACTTTTTTTTAGGAATTTCACTAATGCGGATCCTGGAAACTACTTTAGTGTACCCCTCGGATTACTACAAAAATACCAACAAGAAAAGTTTAACGTATTGTTCTTGGAAACAAGATGTTTTTGTCAATGCGGACTGGTGTGGTTTGCAACTGTTAACGCGTGCGAAAGAATTTATTTGCAAGGAAAAATGGAATCTTGTATCTTTTTCACACCAACCGGAGAAATTGACCATATCTTGACATCTTTTATTGGTCAATAACTAAAAAACACTGTCTTTTCTCACGCCCGTTAGAAGAGCTAAAAAGGCTACGAACGTTGCCCATGCATAAGTTGCTTAACGCAAAAACAGTGT